AACGTTAGGTAATTCCTTTCTGTACAAATAGACCCAAAAAATTTTCAAAATTATAATTTTTTTAACATTCTATAGCCTAAAATCCAAAGTGTGGCCCACTTCTGTCGGTATTACCCTACGCATTAATTGAAAAAAACAAGGGTGCCCACAACCGGAACATGCACTTTTTTTCAAAAGACCAACAATTTATGTAGTTTTGATTTTATGGTCAAATTCAAAATTTAACTAAAAAAATATAATGTAAACAGTGAACAAAAAAAATTGTATTCACCTTTTTTTAATAATTTACACCTATTTAACACACTTGGAAAAAAAGTAAAAAAAATCACTTTTTCCTTCATTTTTTTCAAGATATTTTCATTCTGCTCACTGTTTCTAAAAAAATGCGCGCATCGCTTCGGTATTAATACAAAAACAGTGTACTGACAACATACAAGTTTGACCATATTCAGATCAGCAATATCTAGTTGCTGTCAAAAATTATGTAGGGGTGCGCCCACAACCGGCACTCTTCTCTTACAATAAAAAAATTAAATACTGATATTCGTATATGTACAGTGCCTCGACGCGATAAAATAACATTAAAAGTTTAAGCCACGTGTCACAATAAGGGGGAGGGGGGGTTCAGTGTAAAACCACATATTACTGCAATTCATCTGAAAAGAAAAGAAATTGTGCTTTGCAATACACCTTCTGAGTTAGAGTCTCAGCTTTTATAGTATTCAAGACTGATCTCAACTGTGAGAAAAAAAATTAGCACCAACTGGCGGCGTGAGAGTGGAACTATGATGATATACATCTATATTTGAATTTCCCATATAATTTCCTATACAGGGTGTTCCAAAAGTATGGAAACTTGCACATATCTCGAAAAGTACGAATTTTTGTAAAAAATGTTCAAGACAAAAGTTGTTCCAAACAAAAAGATGTACATCTTTGAAACCAAAAAATTGGGCCCGGAGCCCAATGTTGGGCCCTACAATGAAAAAAGTGGTTTTTTTAAATGAGACCACTAATTTTCAGTATCAAATTCGTAATCCCCATGAATTTCTGCGTTCAGACATGTGGTATAAGTGCCCAAAATATTGGGCCCAATCCAAGATATTGGGTCCAAAATTTATCAACAGATAAATAAATTTTTAAAAATCGCATCTTGGAGGGATTTTCAGATCACAGGATGAGAAATTAAGCATAGAGCCCAATGTAAGATTCTGCAGCCCAATGTGAGGGCCCAATATTTTTGGAATTTGTACCACAAGTCTAAGCCCAGAATTTCATAACAATTACGAAATGGAAGGAAACTAATTTTTTTTACTGTGGGCCTCACATTGGACCGCGGAATCTTACATTGGGCTCTATGCCCAATTTGAAAATTAGCTTCCAATTTCTAATCCTGTGATCTTAAAATCCCTCCAAGATCCTATATAGGATTTTATGTAGGATCCTATACAAGATCCTATAGTTCAAAACACTGCTTTCCTAAACGAAATAAAATTAAACGGATAAAAGTTCATATTTTATAAACAAATTAAATAATTTAATATTAAAGGTTACAAAACAAAATGTTTATTTAGACAATGATTTTAATGGAATAATTTGAAACTTGATACTCGGGAGTTTTGGAGGATGCTGATTATAAATTTCATATCAACTAATATAGTAAATGACGAATATTATTATTTTGCTAATAAATTAAAATTATCGATAGAAAAAGAATGAAAACATGTTGAAAAAATTGGAAGAATTATTATTTTGGCTGCATTGTAATTTTTCCATAAAAATTTAATTGTCCATCTAAGATACCAAGTCGGAAATTATATAAGAAATTATGTCGGAAATTATATAGGAAATTTTATGGGAAATAAACCTGAAACCAAAATATTATAAAAGATACACCTCTGCCTTTCTTTAAGAAATATACTTAAGTATTTTAATATTAATAGAATTCGAATAGAATTATTTTTATGTCGTTTTGTAAATAAATTTAACTTTTTATACAAACTTTTATTTATTTATAGCCTTTATTTATCAATAAAGGTTAAATTTCCGATTAGTTTGAAAAAATTATTACTTAACGATAGGAAAAATATTCGCAAAAATAGTCGGTATAATTTCCAATTGATTCGGAAAAGATGATAAATAAATATGAGAAAAAATATCTGATAGATTTGGAAAAAATACTGAAAAAAATTGGGGATAATATCTGTCAAATTCGTAACAAAATCCGACTTACAGGATTTTTGTTATTCGGGAGTTTTGAGGGATGCTGATACCAACTAATAGGGTCAGTTGGGGTATTATTGTCCTTGGATTTTAAGACTCGGAAATTATAAAATTAAGTAAATAATTTTTAACGAATTAGTATTACTTTAATAGTTATCAATTACTATGATAATAATCAATTCTTATATTAATTCGTTAAGAAGTATTTACTTAATTTTATAATTGCAACTACTTTGGGACCGTCCATAAATTACGTTACCAATTTTTCATACTTTTTAGATCTCCTCCTCCCCTAAAATAGGTAACGTAGTTTATGGACGGCCCCTTTAGGCAAAATAATTTTTAAAAAAACTTTTTAACGATTTCAAAACTTTTTTAAAAAAGAAATTTAAAAGAGCAAGGCAACAATAATTCTTTTTAATCTTTTCACGTTTCTATATTTTTATTACAAGAAACATAAAATCCAAAGTCAACAATATTTAATAATAATCTTCGGAATAAAGTAACAATATTTTTTGCATTTTTTAACGAGTTTAAAACTTTTCTTTTATGGAAAAATTACAATGCAGCCAAAATAATAATTCTTCCAATTTTTTCAACATGTTTTCATTCTTTTTCTATCGATAATTTTAATTTATTAGCAAAATAATAATATTCGTCATTTACTATATTAGTTGATATGAAATTTATAATCAGCATCCTCCAAAACTCCCGAGTAACAAGTTTCAAATTATTCCATTAAAATCATTGTCTAAATAAACATTTTGTTTTGTAACCTTTAATATCATATATATTATATATATATTATATATATTATATATATTTAATATCATCATATATAAAATCCTATATAGGATTTCATGTAAGAATTCATCACATAGGAATTTATGTGGGATGTCATGTGTGGATTTCATTGTTTTAATTGTCCATCTAAGATACCAAGTCGGAAATTATATGAGAAATTATGTCGGAAATTATATAGGAAATTATATGGGAAATTCAAATATAGATGTATATCATCATAGTTCCACTCTCACGCCGCCAGTTGGTGCTAATTTTTTTTCTCACAGTTGAGATCAGTCTTGAATACTATAAAAGCTGAGACTCTAGCTCAGAAGGTGTATTGCAAAGCACAATTTCTTTTCTTTTCAGATGAATTGCAGTAATATTATTTGATTTTTAATTAAATAATTTTTAATTTTTATAAACTGCCGTCTGCCAACTGAAAATTCCTATATGAAATCCGATATTGTTTCCTTTATATAATTCTATGTGAAATCTTAAATATAAATATTTCAGAATCTACATGAAATCCTATATGATTTCTTATGTTCAAATCAATCATATATATGATCTCACGTGAGGATTTTCAATATGATTTCATGTCAGATTATTTGTAATAATTTTTTATTCAAGAATCGAAAAAAGATTTGATGTATGATTTGATATAGGAAAATTTCTGGTTAAGGATTGAACAATGAATTTTGGTATGTTTTTTAGTGAGAAAACACGAAGGAAATTGACATAAGAAATTGAAAGAAAAAATGTGACCAGAAAAAATTGTAGGATTTCACATAGGAATTTACATAATTTATTACCTAAGAATACGTTTGTAAGAATTTACATCGAATCCTACTTCAAATCATGTCTCAATTTCCTATATGATTTTTCATAGGATCCTATATAGTTTCTTACATGACACATAGGATTTTATGTGGATTTTAATATGAATTTATGTGAGATCCTATATAAGATCCTATATGAGAATTTTTAGTAGGGGGGAACCACGTGGTTAATGGAAAGCCCCAGAGATAGGGTGAGCGGGCGCAAAGTACATTCCCGCCCGCTGACGTCATAGATGCGGACGCAAAATACATTCGCGCCCACACCATTAATAAATGCATTGATTACGAATGTGCGACAAGTCCGTCACACTTTGATAGTTTACAATTAACTTCCCAGTAAATGAAAAGAATTGGGAGTAAGCGATAAGAATTGGTGGTAACTTAAGCTGAATTCGGTTTGGCCAAAAAACCGAATTGGAACGTTAGGGTGAATTATTGTTTTCTTACCGTGAATTATTTTTTCCTAAACATTTGAATTGACGGTTGTTTATTCGAGTTTGCATTATAAATGAATAAAATAAATGCTTCGAAGTCTAAAAAAGCCGATTTGGAATAAGAAATATATAATTTAAAAAAAATAAATGAAAGCGTGTTCATATGATAAATTTACCATATGAGTAATACTCACATGGTAAAATTGTCGGTAAATCTATCACATTTCACTTTTATTTCTTTTTAAAAAATTATATATTTCTTATTCCAAATCGGCTTTTTTAGACTTCGAAACATTTATTCTTATTCATTTATAATGCAAACTCGAATAAACAAACGTCAATTCAAATGTTTAAGAGAAAAGAATTCACGGTAAGAAAAAAATAATTCACCGTAACGTTCCAATTCGGTTTTTTCGCCAAACCGAATGCAGCTTAAGTTACCACCAATTCTTTTCGCTTACTCCTAATTCTTTTTTTTTACTGGGTTAAAAATGTAGTTAGAATTTAAAACTAACTGCAAAATCTTATTATATCAACTACATTCTTAGTTATTTTAACTACTTTTTAGTAGTTAATACAACTTTTAAAATTGAGGTCAGGACCTGTTGTACTATACAGGGTAGTTAAAAAGTAGTCAAATCTACCACTTATTTTTTTGAGTGTAGGGTGCGGAAACAATTTTTATACGAATAAATAAATAAAAATACATTTATTTCAGGTTCATTAAAAAAACGTAGAAAACTCCAAGGAAGTTAAGAGATATAGCAGTGAAAATAAGAATATTAAACGAATAGGCTCATGATGAACGGCGCATCACTTTTGGTTAATAATTCACTAAATTTCCAGTTTTTATCTGTTTGTCACTACATTTCCTCTCTTGGAATTATATTTTACGACAAAGGCTTAATTCAATTCAATCAAAGACATCAAACTATCCCTGTGCTGAACACTTTTTTTAAATATCTTGACGATTCCAACAATGAAGCTCAGACAAAACTTGAGCTTCTACAAACTATATTGAAGGGAAGTGATCTTTATGGTGGTGGCGAAAATGAAAAACTTGATGCGACATACGTTGATGAAACGTATGAGTACATCATTAAAATAACTCTTTTTTCGCACTACGACAACATAAACATATATTTATCAAGACTATTAAGCAAGACATCTTCTATAACTTATTCCAATTTTATAGAATTTGTAAGAACTGAGTTCTATAAAAAATACGTCAGTAAGGATTACTGTTTAGGAACAATCCAAAGTCCAGAACTTAATTTACTGTCAAGAAAAAAAACTTTTTCTGACTATATTCTACCAATGTTTCCTAAGCCAGACAATACAAATATGAATATTATAGACGAGGATTATATATACGCAATGGCTGGTTTAAAATTGGTTAGATCTGTACTTAAAGAAACACTATACGCTTCTTTTAGCGATTACGTTTCTATTGCACGAGAGTTTGATTTAGAGAATAAATATCACAAAAAAGAAATCATTGAAATAATTTTAGTACTTTTCTCAACACCTGCAGTATTTATCCATGCTTTGAAGGTAAACAATACACACAGTGAAATATCCAAAAATTTTATGACAGAGATGTTTTGGGTTAAAGCATATAAACATTTATTTTATTATCTTGGTTTAGCAGTGAATAAAATAGAGAAAATTCCTATTTATCAAATATTAAACGAGTTATATATTCCCCACCTACAAATAATAGATCCTAGATTTGTATTAAATTTCCGTCTAAGCAAGTTTGGCTACAAAAGTTTATACAAGATGAATTCCTATATGCGTAGAAAAATTCCAAACGATTTTAGATATAAAAATCTCAAATTACTATTAACATCCATGTTAGATAATTTACAAAGAAATATGCAACTGTCAACAACATTTAATGGTCTGATACCGAATAAAGAGATGAGTGAAGAAAATAATAAGGAACTCATTCAATTCTATTATCCCGGAGGTAAAAACTTCTTTGGACCCACTTGTATTTTTTTATCGGGAAAAATTTTAGAAATGAGAACAATCGAAAGTCGACAAATCCGAGTTCCCGTGTTGCCAGTAATTTTTAAGGGAAACAAAATTTATTATATGGAATATAATCTTGAATTTGGTGAATATTCTGATGTACATCTGGAAATGGGTAGAAATGATTTTCTTCGCCAAATTATTATACCTTCTTCCAATCACAATGCAACTACAGAGATAACAAGTGATTATCTAGTTCACTACAATACAAATGAGTGGAATGAGACACCGATAAAGAAGATGAAACCTAATCCGACGGAAAATTTTAATGCTCCTGCTCAAGAAGAACATTCTTCTTTAGTAGACAATTCCGATACATACAGACAATTTACCGGAAGAGATGGTTTACCTAGTGACGATAATCCAGGATCCTCTGGAAGATCTGGACAAGTTATTGAAACAGAAGATATTTCAAGTGATAATGATTTTAATGCTCCTGCTCAAGAAGAACATTCTTCTTTAGTAGACAATTCCGATACATACAGACAATTTACCGGAAGAGATGGTTTACCTATTGAAGATATTCCAGGATCCTCTGGAAGATCTGGACAAGTTATTGAAACAGAAGATATTTCAAGTGATAATGATTTTAATGCTCCTGCTCAAGAAGAACATTCATCTTTAGTAGACAATTCCGATACATACAGACAATTTACTGGAAGAGGTGGTTTACCTAGTGACGATATTCCAGGATCCTCTGGAAGATCTGGACAAGTTATTGAAACAGAAAATATTTCAAGTGATAATGATTTTAATGCTCCTGCTCAAGAAGAACATTCATCTTTAGTAGACAATTCCGATACATACAGACAATTTACCGGAAGAGATGGTTTACCTAGTGAAGATATTCCAGGATCCTCTGGAAGATCTGGACAAGTTATTGAAACAGAAGATATTTCAAGTGATAATGATTTTAATGCTCCTGCTCAAGAAGAACATTCTTCTTTAGTAGACAATTCCGATACATACAGACAATTTACCGGAAGAGATGGTTTACCTAGTGACGATAATCCAGGATCCTCTGGAAGATCTGGACAAGTTATTGAAACAGAAGATATTTCAAGTGATAATGATTTTAATGCTCCTGCTCAAGAAGAACATTCTTCTTTAGTAGACAATTCCGATACGTACAGACAATTTACCGGAAGAGATGGTTTACCTAGTGAAGATATTCCTGGATCTTCGGGAGAATCTAAACATGTTATTGTAAGAGAAGATTTCACAAATGATAATGATGATAATGTTAATGATGACAATTTGTATTATATCAAGAGGTTTGAAAAAGAACATTTCAATGAAATAATGGGATAAATTTTTTTTTAAATTGTAGTTCTCACTGGCTGAGAAATAATGATGAGAGGGTTCTTTGGGGTATAGAATCTACACAAATAAACCCTTCACGAGAAAATTGCGCACCGATAATTTTACAAAAAAAAATCCTACACTTAGACAATAAGCAAAATAAAATTAATTAACAATTTTTTACTTTACACAATTAAATCAAACATAATTTTATTCTACACATTTAATTGCACACAGGAAAACCCTACACCGTTAACTCTGAAAAAAAAATTCTACACTTAATAATATGCGGAATACAATTTAAAAACAAATAATAAAAATTATAAACGATTAAATACTACAAAATATAACCGTACAAATTAAATTGCATTCAGGAAAACCTTACACGATTAACTCTGCACAACTCTCCACGGTTAATTAGAATTTTTTATATTTTACACTGTCGACATGGCAACCCTGTTTTTTTCATAAATAAACATACTTATGAGTAAGTATATAAGGTGCAGAATCTTCTTGTGCAGAGTTAATCGTGTATTATAAAAAACTTTTGAAAATTAATCAAAAATCTGATAATCTGCAAATATTCAGGTTTAAAATATTTTATTTTTTTTTTAAACACATTAAGTGAAAATTAATATCATTAAAATATTTTTAATCAAATTCTTCATAAACCACATCATTATAAGCGTCACTGTTGAATTCTTCGTCGTCATCATCTATATATTCATTTAAAGTTGACAGATTCTCTTGTTTAATTTCTACAACTATATTCTCTTTTTTTTATTCGCATCATCTCTCTGATTTAACTCTTTTTTGATTTTATTTCTAAAACGTTGTTTAGTGCTTTTAAGTACCTCCAACATTGTTTGTTTATAAATCTCTTTATTTGTGGGACCATCGAATAAAGGACATTTAATAGCAGCTCCTGTAAAAAATTTATGCCTTTTTTTATGTTCTATTTTTAAGTATAATAGGACTTCAAAAATTTACATTAGTTTCCTTATGACATTTCAAGAAGAAAATATAATTTTGTATTTATATGAAGTTAGTGACCGTTATAATTTATAAATAAGATTTATTATGAATTTTTATTAAAATTAAAATTTATAATAAATAAAAAATAATTTTTCACCGATAAGCCATTTTGGTAATGTTATTAATAAATTATAATTTTTGCGAAAAAAAAAAAATGTTGTCTTATTTTTGGAACTCATGAATATTCCTCACAATATATCTATCAGAATTTTTGGAATTAAAAATTATCGAATTTTCATTTAGTAGAATTTTACACAGTGGATTTTATATGGAACACAATTTTTATATCCAAGAATAATTTCAACCTTTCGAAATTAATGCTGTTAAAGGTTTTTTCTGACAATATTGAGTATTTAAAACTGTGATATATTATGTGAAATTGAAAAACAATTAATTCATTAATAATTTTTTTAAATAAAACTGGACTAAAAATTTATACTTCTGTCGCAATTTTTATTATTTTTCATTGCAGATTTTTTATATGATTTTTTCATGATTTTGAATAATCTACCCGGCTGAAAAAACTTGTACAAGAAAATGTATAAGTTCTTGTACATGTTCAAGTAATGTTTTTAAACAAGTTCAGCATCCGGAATTGAGACATGTTCTTGTACCAGAACTTGTACAAGATCTTGGATAAGAAAATATACTTCTAAAAGAAAATGTACATGTTCTTGTACATATTTTTTGTGCAGGTTTCATGTACAAGTACTTTTACATGAACACGTTTATGTTCTTGTACAAGAACATTTGTTTAAAAATGTTTTTGAAAAAAATTTGAAATTTTAATGAGTTATAATTATTAAGAATCTTCATTTATGCATGCTAAAAATTATTGCGCAGATGTAAAGGCTTAAAAAAACTACTGCGCAGCCTTTAAAGTTCTTAATTTTTAATTTAAAAGACATACGTGAACATGTACAAGAACATGTTTCACATCTGGTACAAGAAAATGTATATGAAACCTGCACAAAAAATATGTACAAGAATATATACATTTTCTTGTAAAAGTATATCTTCTTGTACAGGATCTTGTACAAGTTCTGGTACAAGAACATGTCTCAATTCCGGATGCTGAACTTGTTCAAGAACATTACTCGAACATGTACAAGAAAATGTACAAGTTCATTAATGAACATGTACAAGAACTTGTACATTTTCTTGTATAAGTTTTTTCAGCCGGGTATGGTATGGATTTTGAAAAACTTCAATTATTTCAAAAATATGTTCAAAATTACTTTCTTTCATTTTTCATAGTGAAATATGATTTCTGGTTCTAAAAAATTTTTTTTAGAAAATTTTTACCCCTAAACAAAACCTATTACGTTTGGTTTAAATTTTATCAATTATTTCTTAAAAATTCAAGTGCTTCCACAATTTTTATTATTTTTTATCGGTAATTTTTTTGTAGGCTTTTTTCATGATTCTGAACAATCAATCGTATGGATATTTAAAAATTTTAATATTTTCAAAAAATAAAATTTCTAAAATGGTTAAAAAATTTTTTTTAATTTTGATAATTCACAATAATTTTAGATCTTAAATAATGACAGAAACATTCAATGAGTTGAAATTTCACAGGAACCTCCCCTTAACAAAATTTATGTCTAGAAAAATTTTCATAAAAAGGAATTTTTATTTCTCAGAATTGTTCTTTTATTGAATTTATATTTATTAAAATATTCACTTGACAATATTTTCATTAACTGAATTTAAATTTAACTTAATTTCTCTTTAACAAAATTCTTATTTAAAAAAAATTTATTTAAGAAAATTTTTATTTAAACTAATTTTTATTTAATAGAATTGTCATATAACAGAAATTCAACTAAGATAAATTTCTAACAATAAGTGAGATACTTACGATAAAATATGTTGGACACTTTAGTGTCACCGAATTTCTCTGTATCTTTTGTCTTATGCCAAGTAAATTTTGCAACTAATTGGTCATCCATTATTCCCTTAAGTCCACCGCTGAGAAATTCTTTTAATCTAGACCCTCCCAATCGTACTAAATGATCATGCTGAAAAATTTTATGCAATAGTAAGTTTCAAAAACAACACAAAAACATTTTTGAACATTTCTTGTAATTCATGCTGCGATCCTCGGAAATTGCTTAGAAAAAATCAGTGTAATTGCAAAAATGTCATTACTGACGAAATACTAATTTCAAAATTTAACTAAATATTGCAAATTTAGCTGGACTTCAAAAAGTCCGAAATTTTGAATTTGTAAAATCTGGCTTCAGATTTATAATCAATAACCCGCAAAATCCACGAGAAGTTTTAAGTAAATCCAATCGATTAAAAAAAAAATCAGCGGCCACATTGGATCAGAGATTTTGAATCTGGAAATCTTAGGAAAAATTTAGTAATGGATTCTAATTCAGCGTTAAAAAATACAAGTTAAGAAACGTACAAATTCTGTAGTATGAAAAATCGGTTACATGGAAATTTTATCATATAATAATTCGAACAAATGAAAATTTATCTGAAAGAATAAAATGAAAATTCTATTAAATGAAATTCTACCCAATAAAAATTGTTTAAAATGCCTATTATGTTAAATGAAAATTCAAGCAAATTAAAATTCTGACAAGAAGAAATTCGAACAAATAAAAATTCTGTGAAATGAATTTTCGGTTACATAAAAATTCTGTAATTTAGAAAATCGTTTTAATGAAAATTCTAACTAATGATTTTTAAAATATAATCATGCGTCCTAAAAATTTTTACAATTTTAAGCCTTAAGGGTTTTAAAAAAGAAACAGCGGTAAAAAGAAATAAATATTTTTTTAGGCACCTTTAACAATATACCAACATTCATACTTTTAATTGCAGAATATTTTTGATGCTATTTGGATTATTATTGAAAGTTATAATTATTTTAATATTTTTGATACAAGAAATATTAATTCTGAATTTTGTCAATATGTTTTATTATTTGTCCCTTAATGTTCATTTCATATATGAATGATATTAAGCAAATATTCAGGCACTCCTCGTTCTTACTTTATGCTGACGACCTCAAGTGTTATAAAGTGATTCATCCGTCTACCTTTCAAAAAGATATTTTAAAGTTACAAAAAGACTTAAAAAGACTCCAAAAATGGTGTGTTAAAAATCATTTAAGTATAAACATTAAAAAGAGTTTTGTTGTAACCTTTTCGAAAGGTAGTGTAAATTTATATTTAAACAACTACACTATTGATGGTCATATTTTGGAGAGAGTAGAGAGGGTGCGTGATTTGGGTGTTGTATTTAATAGTAATTTAGTATTTAATGATCATATTACTGAGACTGTTTTTTAAAAGCCTCTAAAGTTTTGGGTTTTATAATGAGATGTGCCTCTGTTTTCCATAACATGTTAACCATCAGGACTTTATACCTGACGCTTGTCAGAACAATTATAGAATATGCATGTATCATTTGGGCACATTTCTACGTCTTCCATATAATCAGAATTGAACGTGTTCAGAACAAATTTCTTAGATTTGCTGCGAGATTGCTCAATATCCCCTTTGACGTGCATACACATGATTACAGGGAACTTAGATCGGTATTAAATATACCATTGTTAAATTCACGGTTCTACTTTGCAGATATGGCTTTTTTGTATAGACTTATGAATGGAGCTATCTTTTGTCCTTCACTTCTCTCTATGATAAATTTATCAGTGCCCAGAATGTTTTCTAGGCGATATACATTGTTTTCGGTGGCATTTCACAGAACTAATTATGGTAATAACTCATTGATTGCTAGACTTAGCAGAGAGGCAAACATGATTTCTAACGACATTAATTTCTTTGATAATAATGTCACACGGTTCACATCATCATTACGTAATATCTTGCTAAACGAAAACTAAAATATCTTTTCTTAAGTGGCTACCTAGATTTAGTAAAATATAGTATTGTAATTTTTAGATTTAGGAGTACTTTTGTACGAAAGGGCATGTCCCGTTATGTTCCAAATAAATAAATAAATAAATTTCCCAAATTATGTATTTCCTGATTTTTTTTTTTTTTTTTAAATGTTAAATGCATGTTAGAAACAATAGAATTTAGAGTTTTTTTAGAACGTATTACTTATTTATTTAATAAATTTATTATACTTATTTTAAAACTTACTAGTTTTTGCCGATTCTCTTTATTCTTATCGGTTTCCAAACTTTCAAACTCTTCCATTGTCTTCAAAGGAAAACCTGTCAGCGGTTGATACAAAGTTTCCTCCACGAACTTTTCAGGATCGCCACGCATATCATTTAAAATTTCAAGAATTCTTTTATTCTGTTTCTCTATATTGCTATTAAAAAAAATTATACATGGATTGAAAATAAATATAAAATTTTATAAAAGTATTTTCAAATTTTGAAAAAGTATTTTCAAGTCGTGGAAAATATGGTAAAAAGTAAAAAATTTCCATTTAAGAAATATTAATCTCCATTCAACTTTTATGAAATTTACAATAGTTTTATTAAAACTTGGTATATCGTATTTGATTTATTACTAAATGTTACTAAACTTTATTGAATCCTATATTAAGTCTATAAAAATTTTTTTAAAGTTCAGAAATTTCTTATATGAAAATTATGGTTTTTAGCATATTTTCCACGACTTGCAAATACTTTCATAAAATTTGATATTTATTTTAATTTCGTGTATAATTCAAAAATTCTTAATAAAATTGTATTAAATATTTTTTAAAAAAATACATTTTACTTACTCTAATCTCTCTAATATTTCGTTTTTGAATTTTAAATCATTGTCTTTATTAACTTCATGTTTCTGTTCAGTGTAAAATATATCGTGTCTGTTACTCATTGCATTTAACGGATCTTGATTCGTATAATGATATAATTCTTGAGATGTTGTTAAAGATGTTGCTAGTACATTAGGATCCAACGTCTCATTCACTGTCACATCCGGTACCAATATTCTGAAATGCATTTTTTATTCTAAAAATCGATTCGAAATTATTTTATAGTTTGCTTGTTAGACCTTTTACTATATCAAATAAAAATTCGGGGCGCATGAATTTTTCAATAAAAATTAATCGTTATTCGTATATTAAATTCGTTAGAATTTAATAATAATATTTATTTTAAAAAAATTTATTAGATACATATAATTATTTTTTAGACTAATTTTCATTTTTAAAATTAACATTTGACAAAATATTTTTTAACAAATTGTTACTTTATAGAATTTTCAGGTTCCAAATTTTTATTTGGCAGAATGTTTATTTTACAGCGAATTTCTTTTTACACAACTTTTTAAAAGTATTTTAATTTAACTTAATTTTATTTTAGCATAATTTTCAATTAACAAAATTTTAAGTGGTTCGAATTATTATTAAAATATATTATTATTCTTAAAATGATGAAAAACAGTACTAGTGGATAGGAAAGTATCCAAAGAATCTATTGCCGTTAAAATTTTTAAATTATTATTGACAAACCATTTTTTTTTTTTTAATAAATTTTAAAAGAAAAAATAAAAATAAGTTATAATTTAGATTATTAAAATTATGAGAATTTAAAAAAAATACTTTTTTCCTGTTTGCTTTTTTATTGGCTTTTGATTATTATTATTTATTATTATCATTTAGCAATTTGATTTTTAATGCTTTGTAATAAATTTTCTTGAACAAAAATTAAAAATTTTACGAAAATAAGAAAAAAAAATTAAAATTTAAAAAATATTTCTGTTATCTAGCATGAAATTTATAAACATTATATAAAAAGATAATTTTGCTTTTATGATAAAATATGTAATTTTCAAAAGAACTTTTAAATAAATGTAATAAATCTTTTATTTAAATTAAATTTTATTTCTAGATCGAGAGGGTATCAAAAACACATTTTAAAAAATTGTTTTGTTTGCTCTATTTTTCATTCTAGGTGGGGCATTCTATGGTAAAATTTTCATTGAAATTTTTTTTTGTCCGAAACATTTTTTTTCGAAATCTATATGAAAAATAAAAAAATACGTATTTTTTTTTATTTGATGAAAATGAAGGAAGTTATGATTTTTTGAAATTTAACGGCAACGAAGAAAGTGTGTTTTTGGAACATTTTTTAATCTATTGTACTAATAAATTAAAAATTATGCTATATATGAAATTTGTTCATTTTTTCTCAAATTTTTCAAATATGTACTCAAAAATAACGTACCTATAACAGAAGCAACAAAAATGTTGAAATTAAACTTATAAAGTGAGTTTTCTCAAAAGAGACACTTTCGATTTTTAATTTTTTTGTTGCATTTTTTCTACAAATATAACCTTTTTCCATTAACATTCATTTGTTTTTCTTTAATTTGCATAAAAACATACTAAAAATCGTTGCGTCAAGCATAAAAATTTGTAAATAGTAATTTTAAAACTAAAAGTACCACTTTCGCAGATAGGGAAAAAAATTATTCAGTCATCAGAGATTGTAATGCAACAAAAAAATTAAAAATCGAAAGTGTCTCTTTTGAGAAAACTCACTTTATAAGTTTAATTTCAACTTTTTTCTTGCTTCTGTTATAGGTAAATTATTTTTGAGCACATATTTGAAAAATTTGAGAAAAAATGAACAAATTTCATACATAGCATAATTTTTAATTTATTAGTACAATAGATTAAAAAATGTTCGAAAAAAACACTTTCTTCGTTGACGTTAAATTTCAAAAAATCATAACTTCCTTCATTTTCATCAAATAAAAAAGTAAAAAATTACGTATTTCTTTATTTTTCATATATATTTCGAAAAAAAATGTTTCGGACAAAAAAAAATTTTCAATGAAAATTTCCCATAGAATGCCCCAGGTACATTATTTAATTTTTTAATTTAAATTTTTAAAGAAATAAAACAAATTAAAACGTAAGAATCGAAACGAATTAGTGTAGATATATTTAAGAAAAAATAAATTGCTTGAAAATAATTTCAAAAAAAATATTGCAAATTTTTAAAAATATTTTTAGATATAGACATACATTTTATAAATGTGAAAAATTTTAAAGCAGTAAAAATAAGACACGTGTAGAAAACTAAGTTCTTGAAACAAAATACCGATTTGTCGACAACAGTTAAAATAAATATCATTTAACAACTTACAATATTAAAAAAATGTATAAAATTTTGCTTGATAAAGTCAAACATTAAAATATTTAATCATCCATCTAGCTTTCATTGGTTCACTTCTGCATTAAAGACAATTTCAAATAGTTCTTTTACATTACAAGTTGTCATTCACGGTGAGTAAAATTCTAAATAATAATTGGCATATTTTCACTTTTATTTTGTGTTAAAATTTTTTAAATGTTCCTATAATTTTTTAACGCTAATTATTTCATCAATAGATTTATTTTTTTGTTATTATAAGTGCCATTGCATGAAAGGGTATTTTCTTTTGTTAGCTTGTTTGCAAATAAAAATAATAAAAGAATAAAGTACAGGATTTTTAAAACTTTTTTACCTTCTCTTCCAAATTGGTAATTTTGGAGAATTTAAAATTTTATCTACGTAAAATTTTTACGATCTTCTTCATCATTATTCTCGTACTAAATTTGAATATAGAAAATTGTACCAGTTATGCTAACTTCACTATATGACTGCCTTAGCGGATTGCAAACTATATAACTGTTCGACGAACTCGATGCGCGTTCGTCTTGGCCAGGAGTGTCTTGCTTACTGCAAGCTTCAAATGAAAGATTGCAGTGTAAGGTTACTGCAAGATTGTACAATAAGATTATCGCAAAATTGCTCAGTAATCATGCACAGTAAGCTTGTAGCAAGGTTGGTGCTTGGTTGCCAAATGACCTTGCTTTGAACGTCAAAAAAATTTTTTTTAATGTTTCGAAATTAAACGAAACATTTTTTAAAACATTTTTTTAGATTTGAAGCAAAGAGGGTCATCCATAAAGCATGTGATACTTTAGGGGGTAGGGGGGATCAGCAAAATATCACGCTACATGTTAATCGTTAATAGAAAAAGCATCACAAAGGGAAGGGGGGGGGGTGTTAAAATTTCGAAAAAATGTATCACATGCTTTATGGAAGACCCTAAAGTTATTTGGCAATCTTGCACCAACCTTGCTGCAAGCTTATCGTGCAAGCTTACTGAGCAATCTTGTGATAATCTTATTGTGCAACCTTGCAGTAACCTTATACTGCAATCTTTCGGTACGCTTACCATGAAAGATTGAGTCAGGTGGGACATTTGAAGCTGGCGGCAAGTTTGCTGTGCAAGGTTTGGCAATATTGAGCGGCAAGCTTGCCGTAAGGTTGCTGCAAGCTTATGTGCTATCTGGTAGTACTACTATCTGGGCACATGGGAAAGTGCTGGGACACGATTTCTGCCGTATTTTGGAGAAACACAATAACCACATACGGTTATCGTATGCAGTTATTATGTTTCTCGAAAACACGACAGATTTGTTGTATGATTTCATGTGGGAATTTATGATTTTGTTTCTACATGAAAACCTATGTGGATTCCTACATTATTTCCTATAATTTTTCTGGCATATTATTTTAGTTTTTTATTTAGTATTTCTTTAGTTTTTTAGATTTAGTTTAACTAAATAAAATTGTATTTTGTACAGTAGCCCCAAGGAAACTCTTGTACTTCCGTAGATGGTCACTCATAAACATCATTCACTTTAAATAATAATAATTTAATAATTTAACTTAATTTAGCAAACGAAAAAGCAAAAATCAGTCATTTAAGAGTGTCGAACGGTCTCTGAAATTCTTTGGCATTCAATTATCGCCTTATAAAACGGCACTTTTTACAAAATCGGTCGAAACACAAAGGATCCTTATCTTATAAATTTCCTAAATCCGAAAGATTGTGCAAATCTATACAAAAACTCAATTGTAAAACGAAAAGTAGAAAAGTAATATAATGATAGCTTTATTACATCATTCAGCCGTTACCCAATAAGCATGGAAACTTGCAAGAAGCTTGCAAGAAGCTTGCCGTGAAAGATTGTAGTTAAAACATGTAACAAGTTTCGTAGAAGCAACAAAATGTCCTCTTACGGCAAGCTTGCTGCAAGTTTGCCGAGACAATTTTTATACCAATAAATAAATAAAATAAAAATACAATTATTTCAGATTCATTAAGAAAACGTAGAAAACTCCAAGGAAAATTAGAGATATAGCCGCGGAAATAAGAATATTAAAAAGTGAAAACAACATTAAGCGACTCGGCTCATGATGAACGACGCATCAGTTTTCGTTCATCATTCACTAAATTTCCAGTTTTTATCTGTTTGTCACTACATTTCCTCTCTTGGAATTATATTTTACGACAAAGGCTTAATTCAATTCAATCAACGACATCAAACTATCCCTGTGCTGAACACTTTTTTTAAATATCTTGACGATTCCAACAATGAAGCTCAGACAAAACTTGAGCTTCTACAAACTATATTGAAGGGAAGTGATCTTTATGGTGGTGGCGAAAATGAAAAACTTGATGCGACATACGTTGATGAAACGTATGAGTACATCATTAAAATAACTCTTTTTTCGCACTACGACAACATAAACATATATTTATTAAGACTATTAAGCAAGACATCTTCTATAACTTATTTAAATTTTTTACAATTTGTAAAAACTGAGTTCTATATAAAATACGTCAGTAATGATTTCTGCTTAGGATCAATCCAAAGTCCAGAACTTAATTTACTGTCAAGAATAAAAACTTTTTCTGACTATATTCTACCAATGTTTCCTGTGCCAGACGATTCAAATATGCAAATTACGGACGTGGATTATATATACGCAATGGCTGGTTTAAAATTGGTTAGATCTGTACTTAAAAAAAAACTATACGCTTCTTTTAGTGATTACGTTTCTATTGCACCAGAGTTTGATTTAGAGAATAAATATCACAAAAAAGAAATCTATGAAATAATTTTAGTACTTTTCTCAACACCTG